TGTCTAATATGTATTTATAAATTTTAATAGATATATTAAAATATTTTTATAGATAGTAAAAGACATTATTTTGTTTGGCGTTTCCAGGGTTTTAATGTTTTGGTGTGACCTAAACTTTCTTGTTCATGTATTTGATAATACACCAATACTTACAGCATCTGCTCTGGTTACCTCCTTGTTCCATTCTGACTCAGCTTGCCTCCAGGAGGCAGCATGAGACGTATAGGAAAAAAATTTGGTTAAAAATCTGAAGTTATCCCCTGTTTATAATTGCCGGTTTATTCCCACAGATGTAGTGCTACTCTCAAATCTACACCCACTCTCCTTCCTGACTTTCTAATTCTGTCATTTGCGCCGTTATTTTTATTGTGGTACTGCTGATGGTAACACTGTCTATGCTTGTTTCTATAATAAAACAAAAAATATATGTAATCAATAAGAATTTTATTGGCAATCAGAGAAAAACTAAAAATGCAAAGGAAACATAATAAGCAGTTGAACAAGTGTTTCATTCATAAAATCTTGCTCTCCTTTCTATATAGAGCTTTAGGAAAAATGGTGTCTTTTAAGAATTTGCTTGTCCTTGGAAGAAGCAAAGTAATTTCTTCCTAAAGCTAGTTGAGGAGAAAATATTCAGAGGGTTGTACTTGAGGAACAAATTACTGAACAGAGAAAGCTTCAGTCTTGTGTTGACACTGTTTGGCAGGTCAGTCTGTTTCAGAGAAGGAAGGTGTGTATGTAATGACTGTGCAGTTTAATTGCTGAGTGAGAGCAGTTGGAATACTGTACATAAATTTTTTTAGCAAAAAAAACCCCACAGATACTTGGTAAACTGAGATTCATCATCTTGAATATTGGTAATTAATTCTGCTGACTCATATGCACAACATATTTTTGATACAACACATTTAGACTTACTTTCACAGATACTTTCATTTCCTTCCCCAATCCCTGAAATGGCATTTTACAAGAAAATAAAGGTTGTTCATTTCCCTGTTCCCTTCATCAGTGTCTTTTCTTAACAGAATTGATATCACTCGAAATGACCTTCCATGGGAATTCATGACAGACCGTTTACCAACCATTTTATTCTTTCCTCATCAGAGGTAATGTAATTCTTTTCCTTGGGGGTTTTTAACTTTTATTTTACTAAGTTATACTAATTATCTGGTTACATGTCTTAGTAAAGAAAAAAGCCAAACTAATTGATTTCTATATACGTTCCTTATGCGTATTCTAGTTTCCTAAAAACCAACAAAACAACAACAAAGAAATCCAGAAGACTTGGGTAGCTGATTGTACGCAAGTAGGGAATGTTCTCTCCATTATTTCATTGTCTGTGTTATGAACAGCACCATTACTAATCTTCTTCTTTGGTTAATTTATCTTTTTATTTGGTTCTATTTTAAATTATTATTTTGGAACAGTCCAAATAAACTAGTGGGTGACTGCAGGAGGGAAAGAAATTACGTAGGTGGTGGTGCAATGTATATCTAGTGCAGCGTGTATCACATCACTTATAATTGGATCAGCTAAGAGAGGTCTCAAAGAATATTATACTGCATCCTTGCAGTAAAATGCAGGGATTTGCTTGCTCTGTGTTTAATGAAGAAAAATAAAAAATAAGCGGGGTGGAGAGTAAGTAATCCAACCCAAGCTTAGTCTTGTGTAAGAGGACAGAAATAACAGTGCTGACATTACAGAGGGAGAGGAGATAGATTGTTAGGTGTTTTTAGAGTAAAAAAATAATCTTGTTATGAAAAAAAAGGTAGAGAATCTGAGGAGGGCTTATGCCTCCTTCGGGAATGTTACAGTGGCCCTAGTGTGTGAGTGTTTGCTTTGTCTCACTCCTCTGTGGTAGAATGAACGTAACGTCATCAGAGGGACTTAGGAGTGCTCGTTGCTCAAACTGACGTTCTTTCAGGGTGCACTTCCTACTTTGTTCTGAGGTTTGGCTTCTGAGGGGAAACGTGTGTGTCTAGCTGTACCTGTAGCTTGGCTGTCAGATTCTCTGGCACGCTGCATAAGCCATGGAAGTAGACCAGTTCTTGGCTGACGGAACAACAGCAGCAGGGGATGACTTAAGTGCTTCTGGCCTTTGTAAGCGTTCTAAAGGAGGTGCTCATCATATCTGAGGCGAAGGGTCTGATTTTACATAGCATAGGAATGTAACTACACAGAGGGATCACACCTTGTCCTGATTTAATAAAAATAAGGGTTACGTTTTCCTCTCCTTTTACATTTCACGTATATGTCAGTTATGTTCCCTTTGCGTGAAATTTGGTATTGTTTCATATTAAAAGAAATTTCAGTGTATGAAATGTACGTTAAATAAGAGGTGTTTTCATTCTTGATAAACCCAGAATATAGAATTGTTTTCTTCTGCTTCTGTGATGTCTTTAGTCTTATTTGGTGACATCATCATGTTGCCATAAAAGAACATGAAGCAAAAAAAATCCCAAACAACCTTTACAAATGTTATCAAGTAGAATAAGGGGTGGAGTGAAAAAAAAAAGGTAGTTGGAAAAGCAGAAGTATGACACAGTACAAAATGTACTTGAAAAGACAAGGTTCTCAGAATTGTTTGGAAATTGTGTAGGTCAGTGGAAGATTCTCGTGTTCCATGGCGAGAAAAACTGGAAAATCTATTGCAAATGCTTCTGGGGTTTCAGCTGTTCTACTGCAGCGTTTCTTACCTAAGACTTGCTCAGATTTTTCTTTTTGTTTAAACTATGAATATTTCAAATGCTGTGATACAGTCTTCAAGCGAAAGCTGTGCTTGAAAGTGAAGTAGGAATTACCTGTGTAAAGTAACACTCTGGGTATTGAAATACTTTATTTTGCCCCTCAAACCAACAGTTCCTACTTCAGTATTTCACTTGGGCATAAATAGATTTTTTCAAAAGCTCTAAATTTTTGTTGAAAAAGTGCAGATACTGTAATTGTTATTAGAGTCCTTAATGCTACTGACTGAATTTTTTTAGCAGTAACTTAAAAATAAAATAATTACAGAGTATGACTTTTACAGATACGATAGAATTACATCATGGGAATTTGTGTACATTGCCAAAGCGTTTTGGGTTTCTTTCTGACTCAGTAAGTGCTGGACTTCTCACACTAGAAAAGTAGCAGCAGATCTGTTGGCGTTCCTGTGTTGTTTCTTTAAAACAGAAAACAACTAAAGTTACAGTAGCAGTTCAACACCAACGGAGGAAAATAACCCCAGGAGCTGAGCAGTAAAGCAAGGTGCACGTACAGGCTGTTGAAGTGAAACTGTATATGGCAAGCAAGACCTGCAAGGAAGAGCCAAGAAATAGGAGTGTAGGACAGGGGAATGCAGTTTCAAGGAGGCAGCTAGGATTGAGAATAACTTCTGGAATGATGAAAGAAAGTGGAGTTGGAGGAATAGAACTGATTTGTGAATGGGTCAACAAAAATAGGGGAGGAAAAAGGAAGGTGGGGTAGAGAAGGGCAGAAGGGGTGTGTGTCAGGAAAAGAGAGGCTCCAAAGGATGTAAAAGGGCAGGAGAATACATTTAGGACTGGGATGGGATCTGGAATGGAGAACAAGGATCCTGAATCCTGCTTTTCCTCTGCAGCAGGGAAAAATGCTGAAATCCAGTGACAAACCTGTGTGTCATTTCTGCTTTGTACCAGTACACGTAGTGCAGATGCATCCAGCCTCTCTTGGGGTGAGGAACAAGAAAGAAACATTAGATGGAAGACAGACACAAGCTTTCAAAAGTGCTCATTTATTGTTTCAGACACAGTTTTGGTGTGCCCTATGCATTAGAGTTGATTGACCTTGGGTTTTATTTTAAAAGATTAATGCCTAGTCTTATGCAATTCCAGTTTTCGTAGACAGGAAATGAAAACAAGTGGTATACGAATACCGGCCTCTTTGCAATGTAAAATATACGTGTTGGTTTCCAGCCTTCTCCCTCGAGAGTCCTATCATCAGCAAATACTGGTACTGAGCAGTGTTACCTACCACAAAATTGTTCAACTTGTGCCCCAAGTTTTCCAATTCTTAACTCATCTTTTAGTTCAGTACAGAAATAGTTTTCCGTGTGAGTTCTGAGTCACCCCATGTTCCAACGCGTCACCTCCCCTGCTGTGTGCAGCAAGCCTTGCCGATCAGCCTCAGAGCAGGCTCCCTCTGCCACATGCCTCCAGCTCAGTTCCAGTCCTTCTCTGTTTCCTAGGTTCATTGAGCAGGAACTCGGTTGGAGTACAGTTTCAGGGTGTGTACCTGTCTACAGAAAGGCAGCGTTCCCTTCAGCTGCTGCGTAGCAAAGGCTGCAGCCTTCAGTGCCAGTACCCGGATCCAGTTACCTGTCACGTTCTACAGATTGCACCAGGACTCCGTTTTGCACGTTTTCCGGCATTCAGACTTTTTGTCCCTCAGTTGCACAGTCCGTTAGTTCTGGCTGGCCTGAGTGGCTGCAGGCAGAAGGCCTGCAGGTTTAAAGACGAGTGGTCTCAACTGCAGTTGAGATGAGCCGTGGGTGTGTCATGACGTGTTGTTGACAACTGAGACAGGTAGCAGCGTGCTGCTGTTTGCTGCTGTTAGGTCAGGTGGCATCCACTGAAGAGTTACTAGATCTAACGACATTAGCAACCATTGGAATACAAATCTGATTAATTGTAGAGCTGGAAACGGTTAGAAACTGATTTCCAAGCATGGTGGCTACGTTATACCACGTATGGTGGTCAGTTTAAGACCGCTGGTCTAGTGCCAACATACGGTGTGAAAACTGGGCCAAGGGACTTTCCCTCCCACTTCTGAACAAGGGTCTAGTTGGCTTCTGGGGACAGTGTCATGTATAACATAATGAAAAGGTTTTTCTGGAAATATTTTAAAGCATACCTCAAGCAGGTTTTAGAGGAGTAAAAGAATTTGTGGGAAGTGAAGCTTCCTTTCATACTTAGCATCTTCCCTGTGTGACTAGAAAGTCTGGTGTTCCCGGTTCCTTTTCATAGATCCTCATTTGGTGTGTTTTATAAACAGCCCTAGACTGTCTGGAGTGACAGCCCTAACAGCTCTAGTAAGATCGGGTTTTAATGTTCCCATTGGTTTGATAAAGGTACCTTGCTTACCTCTAGTCATTGTTTTCTCTCCTGCTTTTCTTCTCCTTGGTGGCTTATATTTTGCTGCGTATAGGTAATCAAGAAAATCAGGTTTTGATTGTGTTCCTCGTTATCAGTAGCACTACTAGAGTAGTCATATGCATTTTGGATATAAAGGTGGTTCATGTTAAGGCTTTCTGTGCAGCTCCTGATGCATTTGCCTTATGAGACAGTTTTTTGAAATTTAACTGTTCTTGGTTTCTTTCCACCGCATGCTGTTAATATTTTGGTTTGCTTTTTGGCTTAAATAGCCTTTTAGCTTGTTCTGGTACATACTGTTTTTAATCAGTAAGAATGGATGACTCTGTAGTAAAGTATTACCACTGTAAAATGAGTCAATTTTCTCTTAGTGTAGACTATTTTTTGCCAAAATGATGTTGTGGTTCATTAAACTTGGACGTGAGCCAATTGTCAGCTGAGAAATGGCTGATGGTAATTACAAGAGTAAGTTGGTTGATCACCAGAAGTCTGCAGGGGAAGAAAAATCATGTTGCTTCTGAAAATAGCTTAGTTTTGATGAACAGGAACTTGATCGGGCTGAAGTTCTTGAATCATTGATAAAATATGGTATCTGTCTTCCACCTGAAATACAGTAATTAGATCTCAATCAATGAAACTGCTCTATTTTTTATATCCCATCTGCTGAAGCATTGGGTGCCACAGAAAGCAGTTTTGAGGCAACAGTAGCTGGTAACTGAGTAACTCCGCTGTTCCGGGTGCCTGGTGTAGGCCATTTGGAAGCAGCATCACACATGTGAGAGAAGATGCTTCTGACTGAAGGCTAAAAACAATGCAAAGTGACAAATACTACCTAGCTTCCCAGCTAATCCTACTGAAGTATGCTTGGGTACTGCAAGGCAGGAGGCAGCAAAGTTGAAGATGTAAGTGGTTTGGAAAGAGAAGGTAAAGACATAGTTTCTGTCAGCCCTCAGAGGGCGGTTCA